ATCTACCTGAATTAGATTTTTCAGGTAGGTTAAAGAGTTCTGTAAATAAATAGTAGAGCCATGATTAAACCCCAGTGGAAAGAGCTTTTCAGATCCTTCATTCTAACCATACCAAACTCCTAACCATTGTCCCTTGCTTTGTACATATTACTTGTTTAGAATTCTAAATTCCTCATACTCAGTTATAGCTCAGATAGTAACTCTTATTAAAATCTCTCCCCTCTATAAGACACACAGCTCCTTTGTGTTTCAATAGTGCTGGCTGCGGAACTTGAATGCTTAGCACACTGTCACTAGACTTATCCTTAAGGGCAATACTGATTTTGCTCATTTCTGTATCTCCCATAACCCCTGATAGAATTCATTCTGTGAATTTTCGTGGAGTAAAAGAATGTAAAGAGAATTGAGAAAATAAAGAACTTTAGAGTGTAGCCCTGGCCAGTTTGGCTCAGCGGTTAGAGCGTCGGCCTGCGGTCTGGAGAGACCCGGGTTCAGTTCCCGCTAAGGGCACGTACTCCGGTTGCAGTTTGTCCCCGGCCCTGGTTGGTCGTGCGGGTGGCAGCCACTCGATGTGTCCCTTCACGTCGATGTTTCTCTCTCTCTCTCCCTCCCACTCTATCTGTACAAAAAAATGGAAAAATATCCTCGGGTGAGGATAAAAAACAAAACAAAAAAACTTTAGAGTGTAAAGTAAGGGGTGAATGTAATGTATGTTTATCTTTTCCCTAATAAGAAACATAATTTTCTCAGGGAGGAAAGCTTTCTCTGAAATTCTAACTCTTATTTCTTAAATGGCACTTATAAAACTCATTGGACTACACACAACTTTATCCTCTCCTGCAGTTTCTAATAAGTAATTTCTAGGACAATAGAAGCTGTTTCGTTTTGTATTTTGGTTTTGGGGTTAAGAACTTTTGATTCCAGATGAAGAACTGATAGTTGCTCCAACCAAAGCTTGTATAGCTTAAAATACTTTAGGAATTGGAGCTTTCTTGGCTACTGATAGAATGAGAAATAAAAGCCAGCTCAGATGTGCGAAGGTGGAATAGATTAGTATCAACCAGCTTATCCTGTCTCCTACTGAGACAGTCAGCTACAAACAAATAGCCAACTGGCGGACCTTAATACAACTTCTTATCTTGGAAGGTGTAGAGAGCTTTTTGCTTAGAACACAAGCAGTTGGCAGTGAAGTTACTGTTTTAAATTGCAGGACTTCTGTCATAAAAGTGCGTCCAAAATGTGGGAATATATGTGAGGGAAAAGTAATACAGGCATGAATATGATACAGGAATGAAGATTTCATGAGAGTAGAGTCCAGTATATAGTACAGAGATAGTTCAGAGTCAACCAAGGCTTAAGTAAAAACAAATAACAGGAAACATGAAGAGACCTACTTGAAACTGTTGGTGCTCTTAAATAAGAAAAGGCAATTTGTTTGAAACTTTTGGCAGTGGCTTTTTAATGGTTTAATATACGGTTCAAAAATAAGAGTATAGGTACTTATAGGTGTTTTGCTTTTAGAAGGAAGGAAGAATTGAAATAGAAGGTTGAAACAATTTTTTAAAATCCATAGCTAAACTTTTCTTTCTTTCCTATATATCATATAGTGGCTAACATTCATTGATCATTTGCTATGTGCCAGTCACCTGATCCTCATAGTGTCACTGGAGAATTGCATGGATTGCCTTTCTCCATCAGTTCTTACAGTATCTCGAGAAAAATTATTTTTTTTAAAATATGTTTTTACTGATTTTTTAGAGACAAAGGAAGAGAAAGAGAGAAACATCCATGTGAGAAAGAAACATCGATTGGTTGCCTCCTGCATGTCTTCTACTGGGGATTAAGCCCGCAACCCAGGCACGTGCCCTGACCTGGAATTGAACCAGGACGATGCTCAACTACCGAGCCACACTGGCCCAGTGAAAAATAATTTTTTGAGACTTGCACGGGAGCATAAGTGACTTTTATTTGCGTAGAATTATATCCTTCAGTTTGCAAAGTCCCAGTTCCCTTAATCCAGTCCTAGAAAAGGGGTAGCTGAGAATTCAGCAAGGCTAGAAGAGCCTGTATCCAGAGTTTCTGTTCCGTGGTGGAGTTGAGTCCAGAATAGCACCAGGCTAATCACAGTCCATTAGTCCATTGTGTGTGGGATCTACCTGGCCATGAGCCATGTGGGCAACTGTGGGAGCATGAGAACCCTGCAAGCCAGGAGCAGGGTGTAAGCAGCAAGTAAGCAAGAAGGGCAACAGGGCCAAGAGAGAGAACTCCTTTTGTTTAGGAGTTTAGATATCAAATCTTCCCACACTTGCAGTGGCCAATCCTGCTCTGGGGATTACCTGTTTCCAGGTGTGACTGATAGGTAAGCATCTTCCCATGTCACCCAGACCTTACTGGGCATACATTTAAACAGCCTCTATCCAGTCTCTTCCCCCATGGATCTGTGGGGATCAGACTTGGAGAATGTTAAACTACAGCTTCCTGGCAAAGCTGTATAAATGGCATGCCTGTATTATCTAGTTTCCCCTTTGCTCCTTTCCTGTTCATTAATAACTGGGTTATTAAAATGGTATCAATAGCAACTTTTTAAAGGTAGATTCTATTTTTATTTCCATCTTGGAAAATTGAGGCTCAGAGAGGTCAAACAACTTTTCTAGCTTCATGTCTCTTATAAGTGGCAAAGCTGGCACTCAGACTCATCTCTGTCTAACTACAAAGCTTAAACTCTTAACCCACTAATAGCAACCACATACGTACTTCATTGTAGGATTCTTTATTGGAAAGAAATTTTTTACAACTAGAATAAAATAGGACAAGCCATAAACAGAAAATATTCTTGAAACACATTTCTGACAAAAGATTTGTATATAGAATTTGTAAAGAACTTTATAAACCAAAAGACAAAAGACAAACAGGAATTTCAAAAACGATGATCTTTGAATGGGCAATAATAAGTACATTAGTCATCAGAAAAATAAATATTAAAACCATGCTCTGTGGACCCACTAAAATGAAAAAGACTGATAATATGAAATGTTGGGGACTGTGGAGCAACTGAAACTCATACATTGCTGGTGGAAGTGTAAATACCTTAGGAAATATTTAATGCTTTCTACTAAAGCCAAATCTACATCTGCCTTATGATATAGCATTTCTACTCATAGAATATACTCAAGAGAAATGAAGGCAGATGCCTACCATCCACCAAAGATATGTGCATAGTAAAATGTTCATAGTATCTCCGTTTATAGGAGCCCCAAAATGGAAGCAACCCAAACACCAAATATTAGGATGGATAGATAAGTTTTGGTATTTTTATACAATAGAGTACTAAACCGCAATTCAAAAGAACATATTTATGCTACATAAAACATAGATGAATCTCACAGACAGGACTGAGAGAAAGAATTCAGAAATAGAAGAATTCATGCTATATGATACCATGTAGATGGAGTTTCAAGAGCGAGTGAAACCAGTCATCATGATAGCTGACACTATCGTGGCTATTTCGGGATTTGGAGGCGGGAAGGTGGATACTGATAGAGAGATGGAACACAATTTCTCTTGTGCTGGATGGTAAGTACATGAGGGTGTATCATCATAAGGATTCACTGGTCTGTATACATTGTAGTTATAATTTCCTAAAATTTAGTACACTGTACTTTAGAGGTTTTCCTGTTTTGTGGGGAGTACTGGGTCACAAACTTATAAAAGAGAACAAGTAACTCTTGAAGGTTTGTTCCATGATTAACTGTTTTGTTAGTATAAATTTAAATGGTCTCAGGTTATTAGTGGGTTTTATTTTAAACAATGATAATTCTAATAGTTCAATTTTTAGGTTTCTGTTCATTTATCAATATATGTTTGAGGAATTTCATTTTTTAAGGAGCAAAGCATTTAGTACATCATTTTTGCCATATAGTAGGTAATACCACTAGGTAGATTAACCCTTAATGGCCATGAGGAGCACATTAAACTAATCCCTAGGTGGTAAGGTTGCATGGGGAGGGTAAATGCTAACTGCCATTGTCCAGAACAGGGAGCCATCAGAAAGCATCATGGTCTTCTGTTAGTCTCAAGTGAAAGCAAAGAGGTTGTTCTTCAAAGAGTGTATCTACCTTACTAACTGCCACAGATCTTGTGGTACTGGAATTATTATCATGAGGTGCTCTTCAAATGTTAATTCAGATCTAAGTACCTCCCTGGCCCTGACCTAGCCTTAAGAAAGGAGAAGAGGACATGAAGGTGACCACACTTTCAGTCCAGGGCCCTTCTTACTAATAGTACCCTTTGGCCCTTAGTACTGCCAGTACACCTCCCTGTGTGTCATGGATTTGGATTGATCCAGTGAGATGTCTCTTCTGCCTCTGACACCAGTTTGGACACTGCCTTTTCTTTACAGCATGTCTGATCCTTATTAGGATAAGCAAAGAGTATAATTGCAGTGCAGCTAGTGAGAGGAATGTTGAGAAAATGTAGTAAAATTTCTGCAAGATGAGGGGAACAAATGTCAGGGAAAATCTGTGCACATAAGATAGTCAATACTTACAGTAGTCATAAAACAAGAGCTGTGTCTTTGCTGATACTTAGGAACTCGCTGGAAGCCACTTCAACAGGACAAAGTAAATAATATGTATTTTAAATTCTAAGTAAGAAGAAGAGCAGGGAAATACAATGCTAATTAAGGAAGGAAATACTTGTGATGTAAGAAAACTTAACACCTTAGAATTAGGTTATGGTACACACAGGAACTATGAAGTAAAGAAGTGTAGGTATCAAACTGAGCACTTTGTTTTAAGTAATGAAATTGAAAAAATTTGATAACTGGGACAGTTTAACAGAAAATTTAAGATCTATCACTAATCCTACAGATGTCTGGTATTTTGTAACTTGTGAATTAATGTTTAACACATTTCCAGTTTGTAAGCATTTTCAATAAAAACTGATGGTGCTTCTATTACACCAAATTACATTTTCTTTTTTTCACTTATTTCCTCCCTCAGGAAACTTACTGGACATTCTTTCCACATGGGCTATAGCATGGCGATTTTGAACGGCATTGTAGCTGCTGTTACTGTTGCATGGTGCCTCATGTAAACCTACGCTGAAGCAATATTCTTGGCAAAACTTAGTCATGATTGCTTTGTAATACCAGGGAAGAACATCGTTGCCTACTCAGAAGACCAAGAAACCTGCTGTTTATTATGTAATTCAGATGCCTGTCATACCATCTTTGTGGAGGACCTTCTTAAGCGTTGTTCCAGAACCTAAGCATTGGGATATCTGAGCATTAAATTTCAAGTAATTTCTTAAAATTGTAGGATGTTTACCTCATCTTTTTACTTTTGTGTGTAGAAACATTTTAATGGAAATCAAACTGGAAAACTTGAATACAGTATATACCTTTCCATGTATATACTACATTCTTCCTAAGAAGTACTGATATTACTGTTTGAGATAGAAATATATCTTAATTATCTATTATATCAGGAAAGCAAACAGTGCCCACTACTTTGACATTTTAAAGAAACTACTTTTAGTCAGAATATTTAGTTTTTAGCATTCATATAATGAGTAGAAGGTGCATTTATCTTTTTTAATGGTGAATAGTTTCTTGTGGGTTTTTTTGTTCTGTTTTTTTTACATATTTCCTACTGTGTATTGTATTTGTATGTTTTAAAAGTTGTTACATCTAGACAAATGTAAATGTTATTCTTTAGCTGGTACAAATCTGATACCTACCATTTTTAATAACTATTTTGTCTTTAAGCAAAAATGCATATTGACCTTAGTTTAAAATTAAGTAAACTTATTTTTAACAACAAAAAAGTCTGAGAAAAGGTAACTTATATAAGCCATTAAAATACTGAGAAATTTGAAGCTATTCACTATTTCTGTTTCCCTAATTTCAAATATTTATCCTGGTGTATATATGGTTACTTCAACAGAACTGATTTATTTTGTTTTTAATAAATATTAACCTAACATTTTTATATGTAGAAATGCTTGAACTAGTTTGTTTTGAATCTCAAAAATTTAGTTATCAAAATAGAAAAAAGGTATTTTGATACAGTGTGTATATGTATACTTTTTTATATAGTTTTATAATTTTTCTATTTAAATATTTTATAATGGTATAATGGTGTTAGTTTTTGTTTTTATAGTAATTAAGCCTTAATTGTTCTCACTTCCTTTCTAAATATCTATTTAGAAAGTCATTTCAGTTTTAAAAAGATGGAATATTTAAAATGCTGTTTTCCCTAGCCATAGAAAAACTTATATTTAGGAAAGCATCGTAGAGTAAGTAAAACTGGTTATTCATGCTAAATGGGAAATGAATATGTACAGTCTGTTTCTGTTATCTGCTGAGTGTTGTTATTGAATAAATGATTTAATAATGTTATAAAAGTCTTAACTTTTTACTACTCAAAAACCTTTAAGTTGGAAATGACAAATAATGTTCTGATTTAAATATGATCTAGCCTTGGCCAGTTTGGCTTAGCAGTTAGAGCATCAGCCCAAGGACGAAAGGGTCCTGGGTTTTATTTCTGGTTAAGGGCACGAACCTGGGTTGCAGGTTTGATCCCTGAGCCCGGTTTGGGTTGTGCAAGAGGCAACCAGTGTGTCAATCTCATATCAAAGTCTCTCTCCTCTCTCTCCCTCCCTTCCTCCTTTCTACCCTATCTAAAAAAATCAGTGGAAAAATATCCTCAGATGAGGATTTGAGGATTAACAACAACAAAGATGATCTGAACTGTTTAGATTAATATGGGTATATTTGTGTTTGCATATAGGTATACATACATACATACGTATACAGTCGTCCCTCGTCACTTCACGCTTCGACTTTCGCAGCTTCACTCTCGCAGTTTTTTCAAATAAACCGCGATAGAGTGAAGGCGCTAAAGTCAAAACGTGAAGTGGCGAGGGACAACTGTATATAAATAAAGAAAACTACTTCGTGGAAATTCATTTATCATGGTAGAGTCTGGAACTGATTGACTGCAATAAACGAGGGCTGACTGTATACCAATCCCATGGCTTAAGGCTTCCTTCCTGAGTAGATATTTCAGTGAATCTGTTTTCACTCCTTGTCTTCCTCTCTCCACTCTTCTCAACCTTGGCTGTAAAAGGCTCTTCATTTGCAAAGGAATGTACAAGTAACAAAATCACCACCCCTTCTAATCAGCCCCCACCCCAATTTGGATAGCATCTTCAGATTCTTTGTCTTCTAAGAAAAATATTACTGTAGACCCTCTATATGTAGATACCTATAAGAAACAGATACATATAATCTATCTGTAAGATATTTTTTCTGGACTAGCATTCTTTCTTGAGAAATTCCTCTTTCCAGTTTAACATAGGGTCCAAACATAAGCTATCCTACTCCCACAGCAGTATGATTGACTAAGCATAGGTACTGAGCCAAGGATGGGTACCTAAGCAAAGATGGGGAAATCAACCCTAGTTTCTCATCCCTCTTGACTAGAGTGATTGCAGCAGAAATAGAGACACAACTCAAATCAAGCCTGTCTTTTCCCAGGATTTTTCAACTTGAATTTCAGTATGATTAAGCTGGGAGGGTACAAGCCCAGGAGACCCAGGCAGCCAGGGTTCAGCCAACCTCAGTGGAAAGGACTAGGGCTGATGTGTATACTGCTAATGACATTCCTGTAGTCCCTGAAGGCCAGTGGTGACCCTGCCAGTCTTTACATTTGGTAGCATGAGCCAATAAATTCCTCTTTTGGCCTCTGCTGTTAATATTGGTTTTGTCACTTTCAATAAAAGAAGTCAAGATGAGTTTTATATGGCAGCTAGAATCCATCTCTATTATGAGACTGACTCAGATGATCTAATCTCTTTCGGTGTAGCTTACAACATTCTGTTCACTGACTTGTGAAGGGTACATTGGGTATAAGTGTGCCTGTGGCCGCAAAAAAAGTTTTGGATTAAAGCTAGTTATTAATATACTTGCTGTTTCATCAGGAATTCATTAGTTAATGTCCTCAAACTCACTTCTGCTTTAAGTGATACCAGATTATTACTTTAGTTATCAAATGTGGCAGTATCCATGGTATTTTCCTTCCATAGTTTCACTTTGTGCAGTTTCCGTTACCCTTGGTCAACCTCGGTCCAAAAATGTTAAATGGAAAATTCCAGAAATAAACATTCAATAAAAAATTCATAAGTTTAAAATGACATGCCGCTCTGAGTAGCATGATGAAATCTCATGCCATTTTACCTGGCCATGAATCATCACCCCTTTGTAAGCTGTTTACCCCTTAGTCATTTAGTGGCCATCTCGGTTATGAGATCAACTGTTGTAGGGCTTGTGTTCACGTAGTCCTTATTTTACTTAATAGTGGCCCCTAAGTGCAATTTTATTGATGAGATGGCAATTTGGATATGCCAAAGAGAAACCATAAAGTGCTTTAAGTGAAAAGGTGAAAGTTCTGGATAAGGAAAGAAAAGGATCGTATGCTAAAGTTACGCAAATTATGGCCAGGATATATGATAAGTGCTTAGTTAAGATGGAAAGGCATTAAATTTGTGGGTGGAAGACATGAACAGAAAGTGTGTTCTAATTAACAACATGTTGCTCCAGTATACATTGAGTCTATTCAAAGACATCTGCAAAGGAGCCCCCAAAACGAGACCACATTCACATAACTTTTATTACAGTTTATTGTTATAATTATTCTACTTTATTCATTGTTAATCACTGCATCTAATTTATAAATTAAAGTTTATCGGAGGCATGTATGCATGAATAAAAAATACATAGTATATATAGGTACTATTCATGGCTTCAGGCATGTACCGGAGTCTTGGAATGAATTCCCCAAGGATAAGGGCAACTGTATAATGAGTCTTTGGTTAAATGAGTTTAAATACAGTACTATTAAGTTAATGCTGCTGAATTTCCTTATCTATAAAATGGAAAGAATACCCCTTCCTAACCTTTCTTAAATTGGCACCAATCATTTTCCAAGCTCCTGACAATCCCTCCAACTGCTAGTTCACTCCCATGAATTTGCATAGCCCTTATTTTATACCATATTTTCCTCAGGCCAAGGAGACAATTTGCACTGCTTGAAGTTCCTCCTAGGAGGACTTTTCTGTACTTCACTGCCACCCATGAACAGGGGTTTTATTTTTAGGTAGTAGTAACATAGTACACAGAACACCAACAAGTTAAGCTTGATTTATTTATTTATTTTTCCAGCATCAGTTATTCACCGGGAACTCTTTTTTTTTTCAATCCTCATCCGAGGACATTTTTCCATTTTTTGGACAGACAGAGTGGGAGGGAGAGAGAAGAAGAGAGAGAGAGGGAAACATCGATGTGAAAGGGACACTTCGAGTGGCTGCCACCCGCACGACCAACCAGGGCCGGGGACAAACTGCAACTGAGGTACATGCCCTTAGCGGGAACCGAACCCGGGCCTCTCCGGACCGCAGGTGGACGCTCTAACCGCTGAGCCAAACCGGCTAGGGCTTCACTGGGAACTCTTGAGGCCATACTTATGGGTTGAATGAAGAGAGGCAGTATGACAAGAAAACATACTGGGAATGTGATCATACAATTTGCTCATGCTTTTGGACTGATTCAAGACACTTTTCTTGGAATTCACAGATATACCTATGTCAGTGGTTCTCCACTAAAGGCAGTGTTGCCTCCCGGGGAAAAATGTAGTTTAGCTAAATATTTAGCAATGTTTAGACACTTTTTTTTTTTATCCTCACCCGAGGACATTTTTCCATTTTTTGTTCAGATAGATTGGGAGGGAGAGAGATAGAGAAACATCGACGTGAAAGGGACACATTGAGTGGTTGCCACACACACAACCCAACCAGGGCTGGTGACAAACTACAACTGAGGTACATGCCCTTAGCAGGAACCGAACCCCCATCTCTCTAGACTGCAGGCTGACGCTCTAACCGCTGAGCCAAACCGGCCAGGGCTAGACACATGTTTTTTATTGTCACAATTGGGTGATGTTATTAGACACTGGTTGGTAGTGGCCAAGGATGATGTTAAACATCTGCAGTGCCCAGGAAACTCCCCATCAGAAAGAATAACAGCCAAAATATCAATAGTGCCAAGGTTGAGAAACCCTGATCTATGACTAGATGAATCAGATAACATCGTGTTCATAATAGACAGCCAGGGTCACAGGGTTACCTGGAATTCCAAGAGCAGGTGTTCATTCTCTAAAAGGTCAAATAGAGTGTTTCTCAAAAGGAAAGTTAGCTTGAGAGGACTTACCTCTGGCCAGTACCCTGCGGGCCTCTGCCTAGGAAGGGCCTGTTTTGTACTCAAGGGAGAAATGCTTCTACAAAGTTTATCTACAACAATGTTGTTGAGTTGGAAGTGGAGGCCACATTTGACCATTTCAAGTCCCTTAGAACACTGGGCACACAGGCAAAACCAGTGTTAAGGTGCTGACTGGAGAGTTCGATAATCCACTGAAGGAAGCCAAATTACTCCTATACAATGGGAGGCACAAATGGACAAACACCCAAGGCCCTGCACTGCTTCCTTGTTAGACTCATTTTCAGTTACTGGAATATTACAACCGTACACAGGCAGAAGCTCAAATCACAGGAATGAGGCTTTGGTTACCTCACTGGATCTAAAAACCTGTACCTATTAAGAGTTCTAGCTGAAAGTCAAAGGGATGTGGAATAGATACTGGACAAAAGTAATAAATACTAGCTAGGGTCTCATGACCAGTTTCAAAAACAAAGAGCTATAACCTCTACCCACATTTCTTTCCTTTCTATGGCATCTGTGTATTTTAACTAATTTCCTTTTTCTGTTTCTCTCATTGCATATAGGATTTTTGACATCAGCTAATTACAGTGTAGTGCACAGATTGCAGAATATTGTGATGGGACTACTATATAACTTGGAAGGAGTCGACATTTCCTTGAGATCCTGGATATGGATTAAATATAGTAACCTATCAGGCTACT